GTGCTGTATTTATGTGTTTAATGAAAGCATTCTTTCTTCAACTGTATGTATAGTTTCCCCAATTATATTTTTTTATTTCATGTTGTTAGCCTGAGTATATGTAGCTTTTGTGTGCATTGGCTGTTACTTGTGCACAGTCAATACCTGTTGGATCTAGTTCTAGCCTTGACTCCAGTAAATAGCAGGGAAACAGACAGAATCCCCTTAATCATCTGAAGACAACCCCAGTTATTGATGCTGAGGAAAATCTGATGTCACTTATTGATACCTTGGCAACATAATGGAGAAGGCAATCAACTGATCTATCTTGAAACAGCATTTATAATACGTTAGAAGATTCACATCAGCTGAACAGGAATGGTCTGCATCAGTTTCTGCTCCCACTTGCCCTTTTTGTTGCTTGGGTGAGTTGATCACAAGTGCTGCTTGCCTGGCACCATTCACAAGGGTTTATACTCACTTCTGGAGCAGGATACAATTAGAATTGCAGCAGGCTAATTGGCAGCATCCACTAATTTGACTACAGTTGCCTAAAGCAAAAGGATGTGTTTTTCCTGCTTTACATATTATTACACAATAAATGTACTTTGTTCCTTCCTATTTTCATTCCTGTTACATAGTACTCTGTCTGCTAAGCAGTCTCCATCTGCTTCCTCTGTCCCTGGATATGAGCAGTCACAGGTATCTTTTATCTGACATTCCAGACTCCAAAAAAGCTCTCCAAATTGTCATCTTGTGGAAGTTTCAGTCCATTTTAAAAGTTTTGTTTATGTTTTCAAACCAGAGCTGCTGGATGCTGTCTTGGCTGGTTCAGAAAAATGCATGCTCCTGTGCCACATGCTCAGTCTAGCAGTTTCCAGACCAAGTTTGAAAGCCTGAACCCTATGGTCTGTTTTATGACCTCATTATAAATCCTTTACTCTAATGTTCCTGAGTTCTAGTGATAACTCCCTTCCACCCCCTGTATGAGGGTGTCTAGGAGATGGGGGAGCAGGATATCTCTTTTTCTGTTTATGGTTTAGGAAACTGGGGTCAATGGCAGGTAGTCTGAATTGCTCAGCATTTTTAATCTAGGATATGAGAGTAGTTAAAACTCAATGCTGTTCTTCATCATTAATGCCTGATGTCTGAAAAATGGGTAGAAAAATGTGGCTTGTTCCAGTGAGAGGTAATAGAGTTGGTAGTATCAGTGAATTGAAATGTTTAGTAGGGCAGGGAGACCAGACTGAGAGTCTGTATATTTCTTTTTCCTTTTCTTTGCATTTTTAATTTTGAACTATGCAGTGTCTTACAGGAATATCTACTTACAATGCAAAGTGCTGTGTTTTCCTTGCCCTTCTTGCTTGCTTTTCCTCCAGGTCAGAGATGAAATATTATCAGAACAGCATAATAAATGTGCATCCGTGCACAATGATTTCCCCTCAAGATAGAGATAAAGATCTTGCGAGGGTCCTGTCTGTCTTTCACCTTTCAAGATCACAAAGTCATCTCCTGAAACGAAGTAAAGATCTCACGAAAATGAATTACTATGAAAGAAAAAAAAAAAAAAAAGAAAAAAAAAGAAAGAAAAGCAGCAGAAGATAGAGACCGTGTAACCACTGTGTCTTTCCTAATGGGATTCAGAGGTATTTGAATTCTTAATTGGCCAATGATCCCGTGTCAGCTGCAACATTAGCTGCAGGCTCCCCATTTCAAAAACTGCCTTTGCAGCAGTCAGGGAACATGTCAGCAGGAAAAAATGACCTTTCCTGTCACTTCTGGCTGCATCCTCTTTTCTCAGCGTTTTTTCATCTGTTTGTCACAGTGCAACTGCCTTTTTTTTTGTTTTGTTTGGTTTGGTTTGGTTTGTGCCATTTGGAGTTTCTGCACATCCCCAACAGAGCTGAGCTGTGCCTAGAGCCTGAGATGTGACCACATAAAGGAAAAATGTTTTCAAGCTATGCTTAGGGTTTCTGATGGTTGTTAAATACTCTTTCCTTTGTAACCCTCTAAAATAGAGCTGTTTGTCAGACAGAGAGCAATGAAACTCCTTCCCAGGCAGTCTGCTCTGTGGGTTCCACTTGACTGTACAGAACACGCAAGGTTCTGTCAAAGAATGCCGACATACTCTTCATCATGTTTAAGTTGCTAAGTTGTTTTGCACAGTGTATTCTTCAAATGTCCTTGAAAGACAGAAGGCATGAGAAAATGTACAGCTGTAAAGGTGTCTGTTTTTCTTCATGTATTGCTGCACGAGTGGTTGTTGCAGTGTAATTTCAAGACCAGCTCAGTTACCATGTGGGATGAGGAATAGCTTTACAGTCTGTGTGCATGCTTGCAAGAGTGTTCTAGGACCTATGTTCACATCTTGCTTTTTCTATTACCAATCTTCTTTTGCATTCTTCACTTAAAGCTCCTCCAGACAGAAAGGACTTGAGGATGTTTACTGAAAACACCTATGTTCAGGAGGCAGACAAACTGCAAAGCACAGCAGTTGTCATTGTGGGTGGGAGCAGGCATAAAGAAACACATTGATTGTGGATTTGTTTTGCAGTCAGAGGCTTTGAATTGAGGAGAACTGGTCTGGGAGAAGGAAGGACAACTGATGCATTACTTTACAGGCTTGTTATCTACCTGTAGTCAACAGGAGCTTGTTTTGCTTTTGGATCACAGGAGATTGGTTTGTGAGCTTTTCCACTTGAAGTACAGTGTTCAGCAAGCAGAGAAATACTGGGAGGTGCTGTATACTGATCTCTTTGTTGTTGTTCTGAAAAGAGCCATTGGGCTTGTCAAAACTAATTAAGGGAAGAAGTAGATGGCATTAGGAAGGAAATTCAAGCTAGACTGACATACTTCAAGAGATTCCTATCCTCCCTTGGTGGTTTTGTAATACGAATTTTAAGTGGAGGGAATCCACAGAGGCTGTGTGTACAAACACACAATAGTAATAATAATTTTGGCTTTTATTCAGAAATGCTTAGGTTCCCCTAATTCCAGTCATTATTAAAATGGATAGCATTCTGATGTTTTTTTTTCTGGGCCAGGAGTGGGAGGAACCCAGGAGGTGCCAAGCGGAATAGTGACAGCTTGGCATTGCTGACATGGCCAATGGCTCTTTTGTAAAAGGCTGGCATCTGGCTTCCAGAAAAACACTGTAGAGTGTAGCCTCTAGAGTGACAGCTAGAAAGCCTGCTGGGAAGGGCTATTGTGTTGATCCTTGATGTGCTCTCAATCCTACCAAAAAGTGTTAAAATTACTGCCCCCTTGCCCCTTTTGATAAAGTTGTGATGCACAGATACATTGGTGAGCACCATACCTCCATCCCATTTGGAGTGCCGTAAATGATAGTTGTGATTGCTGAACAACTGAAATTATAGAATTTATAGCTACTTATGGGAAAAAGGCAGAAGAATTTTGCTGTGGACTGGAAAGATGTGCTCTTTCTGTGCATTGGTAATGTATTTTGCTCTATCTCATATTTTTCATTGACATTTTAAGGAATGTCTTACCTGTCTTACTGCCACTTTTAACTGTGCTCAGATCTTTCAGAAGATTTGACCCCAACAATTATGTGGTCATAGGGACTCTGGCCTTTTCTGACATTCTTACTGATAATGGACAGCATTTTCTTCCTTGTGGCATCACCTTGAAACTGATGGAAGCGATTAAGGAACAGGCTATTTCTCACTGGGAGCAGAGTGATGAAAACTCTGCTTGTGTGGCTTTGTTTTTGCTTTGTTGGTTTTTGCCACAGTTCACAGTGTGGGTTCACCATTAGCATGAAGCTATAGTTAATGAGATGAGCCACTTTCAGTTACCTCCACTCTGGGTCATAGTGCAGTTATTTTGGCATTTGCAGCACTGGCTGATCTTAGCTGAATTCTGGGGCGTATGTAAGCTTGTTGTTTTAATTGCTTTGTTTTTTCAGCACCACAAAAATTTATCAGAGCGTCTGTATTTTGAATGTCTTTTATTTATTTTTAAAAATGTTTTAGCTGTTGATGCCCTAAGGAATAAGCAACGAAAGATCGTGATGAAAGTGCTTCGTAGCATTAGGGAATTGTGAATGTTGGTTGGCTCAGAGGGAATCTATTATTTACAATCTACTGTATCAAATTCAGCTTCCACCAAATTAGAAACTGATTTTTGTCGTTGTCCCTTTTTAATCTAACCCCGTGGTTAACTCAGGAGAAGCAGCTCCATAAATCACGTGGACATCTATGGATTTTTTTTCCCCTGCCAGCCATTGCTAGGACTAAATGTTCACCTCCTAGTGATTCTTATCAGCCAGAACACTAAGAATAACATTTCTGTTCTGGGCTTGACTTTCCCTTTGCCAAGAGAAAAACTGTCTTTGTAGTGTGTCTTGCAAAATGTTTTTAGGGAATAAAAGAAAAATGCACATGAAGATTTGACTTGAGGTGGTCAGCCCCTAAGGTTTAGAGAAACTCATGCCTTATTTCATGAGTATCAGGGGCTATGACACGGAGTGAATAATGAATACTGGCTTGCAATTTCTTGTCTGAAGTTTACCATGCATGTGTACCTGATTTGAAGATGGGTAAACTGAGATAAACAGTAGCAAGATTGCCTAGCAAACAAGGGACAGATCTCACCACACTATTCATCTGAGTAAAACCCCTTTTTAGTTTGCTGTCTATAAGTGTTTGTCTGCTGTGCCCTCATCTTTCTTGCAGTATGAAAATAGAGCTCTCATTTGACTGAATCTTGTGCCAGCTAGCTTTGCCACCACAGAAATGGCTGCTGTAGTTTTGCTTCTGTAGGCAAGGGACAGGCAGGCTTATTCACCAGCATCTGGGAAGGTAGGTTAAGTTTAGTAGTTGGCTCCTGAGAGCAGGCTACATAGAAACAGAGACTACAAAGAGGGCAGAATGCAGGGAACTACATGCCTGCTATCCCAAAGTTGAACTGGTTTTGCTAGCCCACGCGCTCTGTCCATCTGATTTCAGCCTTCTAGATCACCTCTTTACTACTCTTCTTTTTTTCTGTCTTTCTCCCAGGTCTGTGATGGGTTTGGATAAAGAACCAGACCTTGTACACATGGAAGCCCGGACAGCTGATGGACGTGAGTGCCTGCAGTCAATGTTGAAAAATTGCACTTTGAGTCAAGAATGGAGTGGGAATTGAAATTCACTTTGCTCATTTTGTCTTTGCATTTACATTTTAATTGATAGGAAAAATGTGTATCATGGGGTTTGATGTGAGGCATATTCTTATCCTTTAAATCTGGGGGGAATTCAGAGGCTGAAGGATGTATGTCTGTAGAGAACCTGGGTGGAAGCACAATCTGTTGGACTAAGAAACAGTCTGTGCTGTTCACTGTTTAGCTGTTCTCAGTATCACATATTTTATGTGGTACACGTATAAATCATAAACAGCTGTGCTGCCAGTGCTGTGCAGTACGGCCTCTATGTGTTTCCAGAGGAGTTCACAACAGCTCGGTTTTACCAAGGAGTCTGAAAAATTGCTTACAGTCAGACTTTTCTAACTAGGATGTCCCTATGCCCCAAGTACCCTTTGACTCATTTTGAAAGGAGTTTTTAGTTTTGTGTAGGATGTATGAATATGTCCTCCACATTGGAAACATGCCTGGAAAAATTGCCTGTATAAATGGGAACAAACAAAGAAAAAAAATCTTAACCCCTCACTGAAATGAATCTAACTATAGATTCCTGTGAAACTAATCTCCAGCAAATAAAATGTGCATTGAAGTTGAATTTTTCCACCACTGCTGATACTGTTTAAGCATTTCATGCAGGAATTTTAGCATGGTAATGCATCTCCTGTAGCAGAGCCAGTGTTATTCCAGCTCAATGCTATTCAGCTATGGGATGTGTCCCTTTTATGCTACAGGGACAGTGCAGAAAAGCAGCATAGGACTGAGGTTGTAGATTTCTAGGGGAAAAAGGGTTTCATTTTGTTGGTTACAAATTTTCTGTTTAGTTGAATGCTGCATAGGCCAGATGCTGTGCGAACAAGCTCCTGTCTGTCAGGGTGACTTCTCTGAGGTTGTGGATCTTCCAAATCATTCACGGGCCTCCCACTGCTATTTAGCGATGGCAGCTGAATAAATAACCAGGCAATAAAGCTTTGGGGTGACAGCTGTTTGTTAAGTATGGGGAAAGAGCAAAACAAGCTTGCAGGTGGGTGGGCAAGGTAGGGAGGCATCTTCAGTGCTTTTGCTGCTTCATATGTTATTGTAGAGATGCTAGGAAAAGTGGCAAAAAGCAAGTGAAAAAGTAAGCAACTAAGTAAACAAAATGCTGATGAAGTCTGTTTTCAAACTAAGTTTAAACTAGCTCAGCCAGCTATTTAAATACTGGATGCGTCAAGGCTGAACATGCTTCATTTGAAAGATGCTTCTGCAGTTCCCAGACAGCTCTCTTCCTTCGGGCCTTGTTTGCTTGGGGCGTGCTGTTTGTTCTTGTTTTAATGCATAATTTCAGCATTTTGAAATTGGCAATTGATGGCATTGAGGGTTTCCCTGAGAGTGAGACTTGAACAGTAGTGTCAGCAGTATAGGCCCATCAGCAAGGCATTGTCCCTTTAGGGGGCCCCAGTGGGCTGTGCTGGCCCTGCTGGGGGGACAGCAGTGAAAAGGCTCCTCTCCCAGCCAAGCATAGCACAAAAGAACTATCTTGCTCCAATTAGAGTTCTTAAGGCTTAAAACAATATTAGCTTGTGTTAGAAAACATTGGCTGCCTCAGAGCTATGGTCTCACCTGGTGTGAAATGGTGCAGCTCTGTGTGCTTAGGAACCGCAGGCTGAGTTTTTCTCCTGGCTGGCTCCGTAACAAAAATGGTACTTCATACTCTCAGAAAAGTGGCTAAGGTACTTAGACCTGCTGGAAAATGGGTCCCTGCAATTATCTCCTCATGATCAAAAAGTTTGTGACTAAAGTTTTCCTCAGTGGTTGGCAGAAGGAAGAGGAGGCTTTGTTTTTTTAACTCCTCTCAGGTTGGTCTGTGGTTCAGATACTGATGCATTAAGAGACACAGATTTGATTACTCCTATTGCTCAGATCAAGTTGGGAACTAGAATTCCTGTATGTAATATTCCTGACAATTTTAAAAGTATGCAGTTCTAGAGGTGGCATTTGTCTTTTACTCTTTCTTTTTTTTCCCCTTTTTTTTCCTTTTAATGCGTGATATTTAGAATTAGAATCGTGAATTTGACTTCTCTTTCCTTCTCTAACAGCAATTACTCATGGGATTCAAGACCTGATCTAATATTAATTCAGACACTGGAGCTTAGAATATACAGGTGCTGGGATATAGTAGAATATCATCCGTAAATGAGTCAGGGCTATCATCAAACTCATGGAGCTGGGAGGTGGAAGTCCTATCCTGTTTTCCCTTTTCCATAGCTGCAGCTTTGATCCTTGGGTTTTGTCTGTATGGTCATTAGGAATGTTAACATTTTCAAAAATTATCTTCCCCAGCATCCGTGTCCCAGTCAATATCTGTAAGATGCTGTGAATTACAGTGCCTGGCTGATTCTCAAACTGTTTCTGTCTTTTGCAGCAGATGAAATTTTTCACTTTTTTTTCTTTTTTTTCTTTTTTTTTTCTTTTTTTTTGACAGAACTATTGTTGCTGAATAATAATCTAGGCCTGCATTTCTAAAATTTAAGAGCAAGTAGGAGCCTTAGGTACTGTACCTTTGGCTTCGGTGTAATAGGAGGAAGGACAGGGCTGAAAGCAAGGGGAGCTGTTACAGATACAGGGACACTCACCAGGTGATATAGGTCTCCCACCAATGCTTCTGAGAAAGATCAGTTCTTGATGTTCACTGTGATAATTTCCCTGCTCACGGGTATGATGCAATAATCAGTATTTCAGTTAAAGGGAAAAGAGTAAATTTGGAAGAAAAAAACACAAAACAAAACAAAACAAAACCCTTGAAAGATTGAAGAAGTCAATGGTTACTAATTCCTAGGGAGTAATTTCCAGTCCTGTCTACATTCCTGCGTCCTCTTTTCCAGCCATTTTTCTCCTCTTTCCTTGGTAAGCTTCCCTGTCATACTGATTTTAATCTGAGCCAATCTGCCAGAACAACTTCTTTCCCTCAGCTACCCTTCTTCCTATTAGCCATGCTGGCTAGCCGTGCCTTCTCCAGTTGCCTTGTTAATGCTGTCTGGAGGCCCTGCTAAGAGCCTCTGCTGCCCTGTGTCATCACAAGTCACAGTAACCTGCCACACAGATCTATCACAGTGGCAGGTTTGACTTCTCCAGAGTCTCTTTTAAGGGATCACATCCTTGGGTTTTAACCACAAGAAAGCCTCCTGGGTGCCTTCTTCCCCCTAGAGCTACTCAGTCATGGCTAGTGGGCAAAGAAGGGACTTTGTGGCAGTCTTAACTTGCACATTTCACTGCAAATTTCAAGAATTTTCTTCAGCTTTATCTCTTCTAAAAAGAGTATAAATACACTCTGAATTCTTAAGATGGGAGACCGTGTTAATTAGCAGTGGGGAAGCATTTTGAGCTCTGTAGCTGGGAAATGGATATACCTCTGAAAAAGCCATTCCCTAATCTGGAGTGTGATAAGTTTGTGTGAAGGGTTGCGTGGAGGTGTGGATGTTGGGAGCTGCAGTAGAACATCTGAACTGCTCAATGTCTATATTGTCTCATTCACAGATGGGCTGAGAAAGTAACTAGATATTGGGTTTTAAGCACAAGTAGTTGTTGAGGCCAGCTAGGAAATCTCAACTCTTTTTGCGCTGAAATGGAAGAAAGAGTGGAAAAGAAAGTCTCTAATTCTGGTGTTGTATGGAACATTATACAAACTGGAAATAATCCTCAAATCAAAGCCAACTTTTTATAAGGCATGCATCTTCCAGGGGAAGGTCAGCAACACTTTACAAGGTTAGTACCCAGCTTGGGCATGTGCCATACTTTTTTTTTCTTGGCTCTCCAAAAAAGGGATGAAAATCGAGCTCCCTTCAGAGAAGAGGGACTTAACAGCTTTGATGGTAGATGTTCCTTTCTTTTTTATTTGATTTTTTTTTTTTTTTTTTTTTTTTTGGCCCAATCCTATCTATACAGATGAAGATATGCTCTGTAAATAAGAGCACAGTCCTCAAGGGATCTTACCCTTCAGGTAGCTTGGATAGGGACTTCAGATTGTTTCCTGCTTTCAGCAATACTCCAGTGTATTATGAATGCTGGGTGAAAAATGCAGGGGCAACTTGGATGTTAGAAAGGAGATGCTGATTATTTTAGAAAATGGCTGCATAAGGTTGTCTGAAATTACTGCTTTTAGAATTTGGCTCCCCAGCTTCTGTTCACTTGAAGAAAACCAGCCTTCCTGGCCTTGAAATTTTTGTCTTTGCATTTTCTGAGTTTTTGCATATCCTAGTCTTAACTGTTGGTTTGGGTTTTTCTCTAGTTTGATTCTCTGGCTTTGCAAAATGCCCACCTGGATGTCTGTTATGCTGGATGACTTTTTTTCTTGCCCAGAAGTTACTATTTGTTATACTCTGTCATATTTTTACCTGATTTTTAAGGTGCTGTAAAAGGAATCATTTTTCATTTTCTCTGGGACATCAGAAAGAAACACAAAATTGAACTTAGTTTTGAACCAAAGGGCAGACAGATTTGAAGACAATTTTTTTCTTCTCTTGTTTTCTTTTGCAGATTTTGTATTGTAAAATACATGAAAATAAGTAAACAAGAGACTAAGCAGAAAAATGGGTAGGATACGACTCTCCTTCTCCACCACCAGCTTCCTATGAATATTAATCTGGTGCCATTCTTTGAGTGTATTTGATTGCTGGTGTAGCACACTCAAAATGACACATTTCTCAGTAGGCAGGAAGCTAGTTGTCATGTCAACACTTGTGGTTTATTTGCATTTATTTGTGACAAGTTTTTATTCCTCCTCCCATTCTGTCACTCAACAGCAGCAAATTATCCCCTTTTTCAGAGGGATAAGAATATCCAGGCGACTGTGTGGGAGAACATACTGGAGGGAATGAGCTTCTAAAAATACAGCTCCTGACCTTTCCTCCTTGTTCTGCCTAATTTTAGTGCTACCTCAAAGAACAAATCAGGGCTGCTGAGCTCTTTGAGTTGAATGGAGAATATGGGGAACCCTCTTGTTTTCTGAGAAGTTGCTTCAATGTCTTAGATTCCACATGCAGGACATAAATAACAACTCCAGACCAAGTCTGGACGTGTCAGTTGATGAAAAGCCTTAATTTATCCCACCTAAGAATCTGATTTCTCTGCTGCTGCTGGAATTTTGTGTTGGAAGAAAGCACAACTCCTCTGATACTCCAGTTATTTGGCACTGTCTCTAGGTCAGACATATTCTAGTGTACGCCATATGCATTAATTATCCCAAGATAATTGGCAGCTGGAACTGGCAACCATTGCTGCTGCTTCAGCATCATCAGTGGGACTGCCTTTCATTTTAGCACCAGATGTACACAACTGCTTTGAATCAGCTGTGTAGCCTTTATTAACCTGGAATTCCCAGTGCATCTAACAGGCCTGCAGCCTTGAACCATGGACCTTCAGTCCATGAAGCCAGTCATGAGCTTCTATTAGATTCAAGTTTAATGGCTGTTTGTGGCATTTTTTAGAGTCAATATCTCTTACTTGCTTTGTTTTCACTTTGCATTCTTAGAGTCAATAAGTGGGACTTGGTGATGGAAGGCAAAACTGCCAAACTTGGAAAAATTTGGTTTTGAACCTGAAATGGTAGTTAGCATTGTCAGAGAATCTTAGCTGTGCCCCTCACTGCTTTTCAGTTAAACACATTTTGCTGTTTCCAAAGACACAGACAAAGGACAATAACAAGTTTATGGGATTGAGAATCCTGTAAGCAGCTTTGCCAGGCTACTTCTCTTTTGAAGTTCTCTTTTATCTTTTTGGGCACAGTTCAGCAAGATCCTTACTAATAGGTGCCATCATGGGAACTAAAAGCGCTGCATCAATCTCACCTCAGCCATTATAAGCTCAGCTTTCTTCCTGTATGGTATGTTCTCACCCTTTATAGAAAAGTCAACAAGTGCTTAAAGCTAAGAAGTCTGTAAAAGTGCTGCAGTGTAAAAGATATGACCCTTTTATCACTGCAGCCATCATTTTAGTTGTATTTTCGTTTTCTTCCTAATTTGCACTTCTCAGAAGAACAGTTGAAAGGCAGAGATGACATATTTAGATTACATACATCCAGAGACACAGTGCTATGCTGTGATGGTTCTGTTTCACAATTTTTTTTCTTAGCTTGAGTGAAACAATGCTTAATCTCCTGTAATCCCTGCCGAATTGTTGGAGGTGATCCTGTCTCTGCTTAACCACTGAGCTGTATGACTGCCTTCTTATTCAGGCCCCTTTCTTGTAGCACCTTGACTGCCTTATGTCTTTTTTTCTTTCATATTCTTCTTCCACTCTTATTCCTTTTCTCAAGCAATGCCAAAGACTGACAGGGCATGCCATTACTGTGAGGGGCTTCCTGTCTTCCCTCCAGACACAAGCGTTATCAGTTTTGTGCCACATTAATTATTTGTATCCTTCATTTATGGTTTGAACTCTACTTGCCAGGGGAATGTCTGCACAATGGGGAGGGGAACAGTAGGTGCAGAAGTGTGATAAATTCCTGATTCCAGTGAACACTTATTTTAAAAGATGTAAGTAGATCTTATGCTAATGTTTAGGGAGCTGGAGATGAGATTAAGACTTCCCATTAGAGACCTTATTTTGAACTGCTGATGACGTTTTCAGACAGCAGGCTCCTGTATGGCCACTTCTCATGTGTACATATTCTCCCATTACAGACACCCACTATTTGACCTGTCGGATCCAGGAGTGCTCAGAGACCAAAAGGAGTGGGCCATTTTCACGCTCCATTGACATCAACTCCCTTGTTGTTCAGGATGAATATATCTTTATCCAGGTACGTTGACTTGATAAGAACATGACAGGAATTCTGACTGCGCAAGTTATTTGTTCTGTGCAAGAGAGAAGGCATATTTTTAGGACAAGTGCATGTGATCACAAATCACAAAAAGCAGGGAGTGAGTGTGTACCTGCCTGCTGTAGATTGGCTATGCAGTCTGAAGCAAAACAATTGATGTCTCTTACTCATTTGTCTCATCCTGAATCTGATATATTTTGAAAGTTCACTCATCAATAATCATGAGGGTCCATGTGTGTCACAGAAACTCTAACTTGCTATTGTTGTGTCTACTTGAAAAATGCAAATAAACTATTGACGAACTGAAAAGAACAGAGAAGAGCAAAGGAGAGGAGTGAGTGATCATTTTAACAAATGGAAAGGTTTATGCTAATTTGACAGACTAGTAACGCTAATGGATTGAACAAAGATTTGCAGTGGGAAGTAAACAGCAGAGAGATTGAAAAAAGATGTTACAGGGCACCTTCAAAGTAGAGGATGGCTGTAAATTTGCCAGACAATTGATGATGGTTTTGTAGATGAGGAGAAAGTGACAAATTAAATGAGAATCTACTTGTTTATGAGATTTTCTTAAAAAAATGGAATATGGCCAGTTCTTCTTACCTATGGAACTGTGAGAATGAATCATATGATATGAAAGAGTAATTCCTGAAGACATGCCAAAAGTGAAGACTGTACTCTATGTTGCAGTAATTTTAGGATATAGAAAGTCTGGAGACAGGGATTACATGCATGCTGATGGTAACCAGCTGTCCCCCTTGCTGAAAAGGGTGAATGAAATGAGATGAAGCTTTGAGCCAGGTGGTAAAGGAAAGATACGTACTTCCTTTTTGGCTAAGACTGCTTAAGCTAAGCTCCTGTTTCTCATTCTTGAGGGAACATTTTTCTTGAATGCATCCAAATTGGAAGTTCTGCTCCATTTGTTGTGAAATTGTGAGTTTATAGGGAGGGCTGATAAATTCTGCAATGGGATTAGGTAGAGGATTGCATCCATATGACCTGAGAAGACTGCATATGGAAACTGTGTGCATATGAATAGCACTGGGGCCTCCTCGTTTTGTGCAGAGGAGGGAGCTGTCCTGGAGGAGGCTGATTGCTGTTATATACTGGGATTGCTGAATATACTGGGAATGTAGCTGCTGCAATTTAGCAAGTCACAATTTCACTAAAGGCAACGTCTTTCCAATTGGTATACTTTCCAATAGGATGTACAATCCAAAGAGTACTTTTGAGAGATTGTTTTTATCTGGCGTTTTATACTCATGGCTGAGGGTGTTGTATAGAATCCAATCCTTTATGGCAAGCACGAAGCCCCACAGGTGTTTCTCATTCCATGTCTCTCACCTATGTTAAAAGAAGGCTGATCTATTTTGAAGCCTGGGACATCTGCCTGGTGTGTGCATGCCTCTGCCTCAAGTTAGCAAGGAGGGAAACAGTCCTCCAGGCTCACTAATAGGTGCTAATTGCTTCAAGTTTAAAAAATAAATGTGTTTGTATATAAACATGCGTGTGTATATATATGTAATACTTCAAGTGCCTTGAATAGCTTTAGCACTGTTTTATTTCAGCATAGTTGATGTTCAAAGTGAAAATCACATACTGACACTTCTTAAAAATTTTGAATGCACAAACTGAATATTTCTGCCGGTTTGGGGAGAAGGCTTTCCCTTTCACAGGTTTTCTATCACTTTTCCTTCCTTTTTAACGTCCCACTTGTGGGATTTCCAGCCATCTGCCAGCCTGTACTGGCTGTAGAAACTGGATACTGATTGAGTCCATGGAGTACTCCAATAACACTTCAGATTAGCTGCACATGCCTTGCTGTACTGAAGGTGTGTTAAATCCACTGTGTTCAGCACATGGTCGATGGGTTATGCAGTGTTTGCCTGGTACATATATAGGAGTGATGTGTCCTGGATGTATTAGTCTTAAAAACCATGTGAGTCTCACAAACCTATTATGTGATATGTTAGATTTGCTGTGCGCAGCATCTCACGTATGTCATTCTGTCTGGATAATCTAGGACAGGAATATGGGAGCCAGCTCTTCTGAATTTTAAATATTAGACAGGTGAATAAATAAATATCAGTTTAAGTGTTAAGAACCTGGTGAGGCTTAATAACTGCATAAATGATAGGTGTATGAGTTTCAACCTGTCAGTGCTGAAGCAAATCAGAAGTAATGCTGTAAAGTAGAGAGTAGAACGTTTCTTGTAATGTTCATCATGAAAGCATTATGTTTTCAGTCTAAACTGGTAGTCTGTGTTCCCCTAAAGTGAATAGACAGATGAAAACTATCAGAAGCAATTCATTTTCTCCTAGAGACTTACTGCAGGATGCAGAAGGTCTCTCTCTGAATGTACTTTTCTCATCAACGGTAGAAGATGCCTAATTATGGCTTAGAGAAGACCCTAACTTTTCAACAGCTAAAATTAAGACAGGTGTATCCCAGCTATTTGTGTCATTTTAGATTATCTGTATGCAGTTATTCACTAGTGCATGTCCCTTCTAATCAAATTGATAAGCAAGCCTGTATCGTTAACCTGTATAACTTTATACCCAAAGTATGTGTAATATTATGGTGTACAATGCACAGGGAAGAAAGAATATGGAAAATGTTATAAAGTCCTTAAAAGTAAATGATTCCTGTATGTGATGTGGTGTTGTGCAGTGCTTCTGGAAGAATCATCCTGAATCACGGTGCAAAGAAATAAAATGAGAATGCTTGAAAGAAACTTGTTTTTAAAGAGAGGTTGAAAAAACTCAGGCTTGGCTACTAGGCCTATAACATAGGTAAATAACATAGTATATGATGAGAAAAGTAAAAAGCAATGAAGAAGGAGCAAAGAAATAGCTATGAGGAGAGAGTAGGAAGAATCCTTATGAATAGAACAGTAAATGATTACTCTGAATTTATTGATTGACTTTCTGCTGGATTGATCAATAGTTGTTGAAGGATGCCCAGCACAGCTCTAAGATTAGGTAATTCTGTATAAGTTGATCCATTAAGAGAAAATTTTGCCCTCTCTTATGTGTTGAGATTTTATTCTGTTCCCAGGATTGCTCCGGTGCAGCCAGGAGCCACTATGAGCTCCATTCTTCATAGATAGTACTTAAAATTCATAGAGCTTGCAATGTGAATTGTGTAGTTGTGAGAAAACCTTGGAATATGATATAAAGTGTGAATTTATTTACTGTACCTAAAAGGAGCTCATTTCATGAAAGTAAAGGAAATATTAGCCACAACTTTGCCATTGAGGTCAACGTCAGTGATGTTCAATTACATAGCTGTGCAATAGAGGAGCCAATAATTTCTCCATGGTTGTGCCACGCCTTTTCTTGTAAGTGTTGTCTTATAGTTGCTGCAGAATTTGTATCTCTTTCTAAACTCAGGCACAGAGATAACCTGAAAACTGTCTGTTAGAGTTGGCTTCCTGACAATTACCTGAACTGCTATGGTATTCTCACATGCACAGCCTATGTTAATTGTCAGAGAGCAGGGATTGGCTTTTGTTTTATGTATGTGTCTAGTTTATTGATGGCTTGTAGAATTTCTACAGTAAAAATAAATCAGTATTGTTCTGGGGAAAAGATTTTTCAATCAAGTCACGTATCAGGGTTTCTGAAGGAATTGTTCAAGTTGCTGAAAAGAAACTAGAATGCAATATGCTTTAATGAAAATGGGGATTATTTTGCAGAAAATTGTATTTTTAGTGAGAAGCATTGTTTGGAGGAAAAACTTATTTTCTCTAAGTAAGAAAATAATGTCAATGTTGTAGCTCTTTAGAGTAGCTATGAAAAGGAAGAGCTGAAACATTCTATGTAAGTTTCCTTGCCAACAAACGAAAAAGTTCCACTGAAAATGCAAGAAAGCATGAGCAAACATCTTCACTTATTGCAGGGAGTGGAAAAGTCTAGGATGAAAAAGTTTCAGTACAGTGTTGCTTATTTGTGGTGGTCTGAGAATTAATGGAGGTATTAAAAATGGCAGTGCAATTGCTAGGAATCAACTTTCCTGTAAAACCCCATTATTTTTCAGAAAGCACCATTTATGTAGGCAGACCTAAGGCTGGCAGAGGGAGCTAATAATTGCCAAGTCACTCCAGGTTACTTAAGGGTAATGTAGTTATCTCAAGTGTGATAACTCAGTGGGTGCATGGAATGCTGGACATGTCTGACTACCAATGGAGTCTGCAGACACTTCCCAACTCAGTGCAGGCCTAGCTAAGGACTGGATTTTCCCATAGATCCCCAGGTGTCAGGTGAGGGACAGTAATAAAGATGAAACTCTCCAGTTTAGCATGAAGGTTGCTGGCAGTACTGATGTTACAGTGCTGGTGGCCTGAGGATGCAAGTGAGATCAAGTTTACAGAGATAGGCAATATTTTTTATGAGATTGGAATTGATGGAGGTAGAAAATGCGCAGATAAACTTTTGGGCATACTCCTAAGAAACTTGGGGAAGGATTTGATATGTGAAAAATATCTCCTCCAACTCCCACCCCTCAGCTATAGATGTAAGTCTCACAGAACATGTTTCTCCTCCCTATCAATCTTCTTGTGTTCTCCCTGTGTAAACTCGTTGGTGTGTGGCTTTCCTCCCAGAGGTCATGCCAGTTCAGCTCTGCATCCAGTTAACGCTGTCCCCATTTCTCGCTTAAGTTTGTGTCTCTGTGAGTTGATAGTTGATAGACCCTCAAGGTAACTTTGGCCTGTTTGATTTGAACTCGCTGTAGGTCAGTGCAGAGATGTGCAGATGGGCAATCAATATCCATCACAACTGTTTTTTATGCCTTTATTTTTCTCTGGGCTGGTAAAGGAAATCTGTACCACCTTCAGCTGAAGTCCATTTGAAGTGTGGCTCAGACTTTCAGTGCTTCCATGGCAGTGACAGAGTTTATGGGCACATCAAAGTCTCGTGAGTTTTAGAAGAATCTAATATCTGGTTTGAATTTGCCAGTCCAAGTGAATCCCTTTTGAG